CCAAAGACCAACCCGCCTCCCTCGTCTAAAGAAGGGTTAAGTGGACCTGAAACTTCGCCCTTTGGGTAGGTCGCCGCTCTGGTACCCGCGTTCTGTCTGATCCCATTGGAATCAAGGACAATTTTTCCATTTCGCAGTTCTGCAGGGTAGAGGAGGAGTGTAGTATACAATAATTCTCACCGTCAAAGGGGAGATCTGGTTCTAAAGAGGGAAGGAGGAAAACAGGGCAGGGTGGAGGTGGGACAGAACAGACCCTCAGAGAAGCAAACCTAAGCTTTACTAAAACTTGTTCTGTGTCGGGAACTGAATTTGATGATGCAGATATGACTGGAGCAGGGAAAGGAAGACTAATTAAAGGGAGTAGACTGAATGAAATTCGCAAGAACTAGGGAGCCCTAGAGAAATCTGTACCCCGGGTGATTGGAATATTGGTAGTTTCAAGTGCGGGAAAACGCACGAAATCTGTCACAGGTAAAGAAGAGTAGAAGTTGTTAGAGGGACTTGGACCAGACAGATTATTAAAATTCTTTTTTGTTTGTTTTGAGAGAGAGAGCGAGCGCGCGCACAAGCGGGGCGAGAGGCAGAAGGAGAGGGAAAAGCAGGCTTCCCGCTGAGGAGGGAGCCGGATGCAGGGCTCTCTACAAGGACCCCGAAATTATGATCTGACCGGAAAACAGCCGCTTAACTGACTGAGCCACCTAGGCGCCCCTGGACCACACAATTTCTGCTCCAACATTCTAGAACTTTGCTTCACCCTCCCCGAGTCAACCTAATTATACTCCGTCCTGTTTTCAGTGTTACTATCTCCTGGACCTGCAGTACTCTTTCCTCAAGATGGGAAAGCGCTCAGGACCAGACAATGGCTACACCATCCATATCCAACAGCCGCAACAAATAAACACGTGTCTACAAAAAAAACTACAACCCCCAAGAAGCTTTACACTCTTTTGAGGGAAGAGGTGGCGCATGCTTGATCACTCTCCCAAGGAAATTAAACCTAACTACCATTCCCAGAGGGCGCCGCGCTACAGATTACCCAATCAGCTTTAAATGAAAAGCATCGCGAGTCTTCGGTGAGACTCTGCTCTATAAGCCCCTGGAAACGAGCGTTGGAAATCCTTTTTACGAAGATGGCGCCGAAAGCTAAGAAGGAAGGTTTGTGCTGGAGCTGGGGGGTGACTACGGGTAGCTGGCGTGAGATCCCCTCGGAGTGAACGGACCGGGAGGACAGTGGCTGAGCTAAGCCTTGCGGTGTCTCCTCCGGAGCCGCTTCTGGGATTCTGGCACGCTGCGGTGCGCGTGGGCCCAGCCGCATGGGCTGGGCTTCTGTGAGGAGGTTGGGGAGGCAAGCCCGGCCGGCACGCACCTCTCGGGGCTGCCGGACTGTTGGCCTTGGGGAACAACACGCATCCACAGGACGGAGCTCCACATTTCCAGACCTGTAAAGAATTACAGTCCTCAACTTAGTTTCCTTTTTTTTTTTTTCTTCCGCGTTAGAGCTGTATAGGTAGGTAAAACCACTAACATATCTTGTCACATAATCAGCCTTTCGATTATTGCTAGTTCCTTTTTTTTTTCGTCGTATTCCTGGAGTTACCCTTAAGTTCGCCCCAGCATCGTGCATATGATGGAAAAATTTTAACCTGAGACTTGTGATGTCTTCAAAGGAACCACTGATGCACGTGTGGCCTGGAGCGCCCGCTAGGGGTTTTGAGTAAGGAAGTGACTGGTTTCTGAATCCTGTGCCCTCATTTTCCTTCTTTCTCTCAGCTCCTGCCCCTCCCAAAGCCGAAGCCAAAGCAAAGGCTTTGAAGGCCAAGAAAGCGGTGCTGAAAGGCGTCCACAGTCACAAAAAAAAGAAGATCCGCACATCACCTACGTTCCGACGACCCAAGACTCTGCGTCTCCGAAGGCAACCCAAATACCCTCGAAAGAGCGCCCCCAGGAGAAACAAGTCAGTACTGCTCTTTCCCTTGGAAAGATGTTGGGTAGCCGTTTGTAATTTGGAAATTTACCAAACCTGTAGCACAGCTTCGGGAATACATGTTAGTACGTAGTGTGTGTCTCTAAGGGGAGTGTGAAGAGATTGTTAATGCCTGATTTAAGAACAAGAAGAGACGTTTTTACAGTATTGAGGGGAACAGCTTAAAACAGCTCAATGATTATTAAGTTTGTTAGGTTAATTGTTGCTTTATATATGGTCAGCGTTTTAAATTCTGCTTTCTTTGAGTATATAGTGGGACTTTAATTTTTTATTTTTATTTTTTTGAGTTCCAGGTTTAGCTGTTCATTGCACCTATTCCTGTAGGGAGTAACCCTTGAGGGTGACAGTGTGGGTGATTCTAGGTTGATAAGGACACTGTATTTCCAATACAGACACTCTGTATTGGAAAGAGAAGACCTGCAACAGTGTATAAAGGGGTCTTTCATTTACTGTCTTTACACTCAAAAAACGGGGAAATGGGCAAAAGGTTTAGGGTCTTGAGTGTTTTGGTGCCACACTACTAATGATAAAACTGAGCTTAGGGGGCCACAGATTCAAATAGTAGTAATAACGGTCACTTCCCAGTGCTGCTGCTGCTTTTTTTTTTCCTTTTTCTTTCTTTCTTTTTTTTTTTTTTAAGATTTTTATTTATTTGACAGAGAGAGATCACAAGTGGGCAGAAAGAGAGGGGGAAGCAGGCTCCCAGCTGAGCAGAGAGCCCAATGCGGGGCTTGATCCCAGGACCCTGAGATCACGACCCGAGCCGAAGGCAGAAAGGCCCAACCCACGGAGCCACCCAGGCGCCCCTTCTTTTCTTTTTTTTTAAAGATTTTATTTATTCATTTGACAGAGATCACAAGTAGGCAGAGAGGCAGGCAGAGAGAGGGGGAAGCAGGCTCGCCACTGAGCAGAGAGCCTGACACTGGCCTTGATAGATCCCAGGACCCTGAGACCACGACCTGAGCCAGAGGCAGAGGTTTAACCCACTGAGCCACCCAGGGCCCCTTGCCTGGGAGGGGGCGTCTAGATGGCTCAGTGGGTTAAAGCCTCTGCCTTTGGCTCAGGTCATGATCCCAGGGTCCTGGGATCGAGCCCCACGTCCGGCTCTCTGCTCAGCGGGGAGCCTGCTTCCTCCTCTCTCTTTGCCTACTTGTGATCTCTGTCAAATAAATTTTTTTTTTTAATTAAAAAAAATGTTGAAGTCAAAGAATGAAGGGGGTTTGGAACTCAGAGATGATTCTTAAATAAACTGAAGGATGAAAGTCCTTCAAGTGAAGATACCCTTTGCCCAGTTGGTTCAACTCAGGTCATGATCCCCAGAGACCCAGGATCAAGCCCCACATCAGTCTCCCTGCTTCTCCCTCTGCCCCTCACCTTGCTCTTGTGTGTGTTCTCTCTAACAAATTTTTAAAGCCTTTCAAGGGGAAGAAAGTGCACAGGTTTCTGTCCCCAGGTCCCTAAGTTTCAGGGTGCAGATGATGACACTATTTAGCGACCAAAGTCTGACAGAAATGATTGCTACTTCATGGTCTGATGCACCTGGGCTCTTCTGGGGTTGGGCTCTAAAAGAGGGCCTGTCCTTCCCTTTGACCTAGGCCAGCTGACACCATTTTGCTTCTTCCCAAGGCTTGATCACTATGCCATCATCAAGTTCCCCCTGACTACTGAGTCAGCCATGAAGAAAATAGAAGACAACAACACACTTGTGTTCATTGTGGATGTCAAGGCCAATAAGCACCAGATCAAACAGGCTGTGAAGAAGCTCTATGACATTGATGTAGCCAAGGTCAACACCTTAATCAGGTGAGTAGGATCTCAGGAGCCAGGAAACGTGCATGGAGTCAGAAGTAGGTTTCACAGCTTGCAAGCCTTAAGAAATGAGCATCTTCTGCTGTAATTCTAGTCTTTTGTATCTAATACGGGCTTTTGAGGACACATTAGCTCTCTTGCCTCTACGATTTATTGTATGGTGTTGGTGTTTTCTTGATCACTACACCTCTAGATAGAGGCAGGCCCTAGAGTAAGATGCAATTTATGTCAGATAACCTGGACTTAGTCTTAAGATGTTCTGTGATATTCCCCCAGAAAGGGGAAGTGGGTTCATTTGTGCTTTGGTGGCATCCCTAGCCTCCTGTGCAAATGATGGAAAAGTCACCATTTGGGAAAGAATGATATGAACAAAGGAACCACTGATACCCTAGAAAGACTAGGGGGAAAGGGAGGGCTTAGGGGCAGTGAGGGTGGGAGGAATTAAGACTTCCTTTATCCTAGGCCTGATGGAGAGAAGAAGGCATACGTTCGGCTGGCCCCTGACTATGATGCTTTGGATGTTGCCAACAAAGTAAGCTACCTGTGCTATGAACTCACCCATCACCTGGCTCCAAGTGAGGTGTCCGTTAGTGACCAAAACCTGACATTTGCTGCTTAACTCACTGCACTCCTGTCCTGAATGGGCCCTACCCTCACCTCAATTTGATTTTTAACCATGACATTCCAGCTTAATCTTTTTACATTTCAACTCCCAGTAACAAAGCTCCCCTTTTGTTTTTCAGATTGGGATCATCTAAACTGAGTCCAGCTGGCTAAATCTAAATACAATTTTTTCATGATACATGTTTGTCTGTTGATTTGTTGGCTGGGCTTTGGGGAGGCCATACTGGGGTTACACACACTTAAATTAACAGGGCAAGACTTTGGTCTACTTACCCTCTTGGAACACTCTGCCTTAGTACCTCACCACACTTGTTAATCCTGGCAGTGGGAGCTTAGGTATTTGTGACCCAGATTGGGCTTCGGACAACGAAAATTTGTTGTCTTAACCCCATGATGATGGCAAACAAGAATCCCTCCTTTTATCTGGAAGGGGCTTTGTAGGAAACCAGTATACAGAGTGGCATCCACTTCAGGACAGTGTGGACTGGCTGGCTTCTATAGCACCTGTCCCCGCACCCAACTACCATGTCCAACCGGTCTGTCTGCTTCCCTCACCCCTTGCCCAAGAAAGGACAAGGACTTCAGAGGACTGCTTTCATTAGCATTTTCAATAGTAGGTGCAGAGCCTGTCCTCAGAGGATGCCCCAGACTTGGGGCTAATTCTCTTATATGGTGAGGCTGTTCTTGGCTGTGTTTGCTCTTCATGCCACAAGTTGCAGGCCTCTCACTCTGTCAAAAACTTGTCTTTGTGTTGCTGGCTGGGGACACCTCCAGGGCAGAAGTCTGAGCGGAGGAGGCGGGAAAAGTAGATGAGGATCATGATGTCTAGCATGAGCAGGTTACCCAGCAGAAAGGTGCCCAGGGTCCTCTGGCCCAAATAACGCAGGAAGAAGTGGGTGAGGTAGGCCTGAGGGACCAGGCGGAAGAGAAAGTACATGACCAGGTTGACATACTTGTTGACCCGGTACAGGAGGAGGTGCTGGGCATTGTTGATCTTCATCATCATGCGGATGGTGAGGAATATGTTGCTGACCTCCACCAGCAATGTTAGGACTCCCCCACCAACAAAACTGTTCCAGAAGATGCCTGCAAAGAAGGCACCCAGGGCCTAGAACGCAAGGGAGATGTGTTAGGGGACCCAAATACCATGGCTTTCCTGAAAATTGGTGGGCATATCAAGGCTACCAGATTAATGGTTGGGAAATCCATTCTTGCTGACATCGTTCTGGGTTATAGTCTGTGGTGGAATCAACAGGATTAAATTTTGATGCCTGCCCACAGATTCTGGCTCTGAGTGGGGTTTGTAATTTGTTAAAGGAGGTAATAGGTAAGACCATGGATTACTGGCCTCAAGTGAATTCACCAAGGGCACGGATACTGCCAGTCTTCAGTGTCCTGACATTGGTTGGAGATGGGGTTAAGAAAGGTCTTTACCTCCCAGGTTCAGAAAAGGCTGAGACCAGGTTGCTAGCACCAGGCCTACACCCAACCCTTGCCTCTCTTACCATGACGTGATGAACGAGGTATTCCCAAGAAGCTCGTGTCTGACGACTGATCACAATGTCCACCGTGTCGTGGATGAAATACCCTACCGGGTCATATGGAAAAAAGTCATGAAAGGAACTGAACAAAAAGCTCCCTGTCCCCGCACCTACTTAGTATTTTCTGGGCAAGACCTACCTGCAGAGAAGCAAGCGAGCAGATAGCCAGAAAGCGACCATGCCGTCTCAATCTCCACCAGCATCTCGGGGGTCTGCCATAGACTGGGAGGGAAGAAGGCAGGCTCTCATCTCCGCATCCCCAAGGACCCTCTACTCCCCCATTCCCCCTCCCAGTCCCCGGGGAATCCGGGCTCGCGCTATTGGCTTTGTGGGAAGTGGAGAGGCTTGGCTGAAACCCAGGTGTCTCCCGGTTCCCAGATGAGCTTTCCCCCTCCCCTGGGACCTCTGCCGCTCCTAGTTGTAGAGCTTTCTGAAGAGGGAATCAGGTGAGACTGCATGGCCTGAGCCTGCCAGAGGGTGATGCGGAGAGTAACGTGGGATCCCCCAACCACCCACCCTCACACCCCCAGTCCTTCACTTACCACAGCACTGCCCAGACCCCGGACACAATGGAGTGGGCGAAGGAGACCAGCAGGTTGTGCCAGCGCCAGGTGCGCAGGGGGTCGGCGCGCACGTGCTCCGGCAGGGGCAGGCGGCTGAGCGCGCGCCGGAGGGCCCGGAAGGTCAGCGTGGCGCCCAGGAGCAGCGGCAGGGCGGGGTGCAGCAGTGGGGGCATGCTGGCCCTCCCTGCCGTCCGTCTGTCTGCCCCCTAAGCTGCCTCCTCCGGCTGCCGCGAACCGGGCTCCTCTCGGGCCAGTGCACTCCAGCCGCCAGCCTCGCAGTTTTCGCGGAGCCCTCTAGGCCCGGAGCTCCTCCAGTCCCCTCCCCGCCGGCCTCTGCCCCCGCCCCCAGCCGCCCCCGCCCCCGCCCCGCCCCGGCCGCCTGCCCCCGCCCCTCCGGCGCCACGCTCGGCACCGAGGGCGGGAGCACCATTTCCCGCGGGCCTCCGGGCCCCGCCTGGCTTCCGCGGACTTCGGGCGAAAAAGGGGCTGTCCTGGGGGGCGGCGATGCCGCGGCACCCCTCGCTGGCGCCTCCCGACGGCCGACGGAGTCCCGCCTCGGTCGCTTGGCCTCATTAACCTGCGTCCCCACTTTTCCCGGGGCTACCGGCTCCCCCGCCTCGGCGCGTACTGAGAGAACTCTCCCTCCGCCCTCAACTCCTTTCTGGGCAGAGCGGGGCGGGGCCCGTCACACACCCGCGTCCTTTAAGCCCTGGTCCTGGGGAGGGGTCCGAGCCGAGCCTCGATAATGGTCTCCGCCTATATTCTGTTTTTTTTTTTTTTTTTCCACCGGATCTTTAGCTTCTTTGGGCCAGAGACGGACATGTTTATCAGCATCTGTGGCGCCCCGCATCGACTCGGTGTCTAGGAGGGGTCGACTAATCCATCACCCTTCTTCCCAGCCCGCTCTTGGGCTCCTGAGGTCGAGCGGCTGTCACAGTCCTCCCTTAGACAATCCCGGCTCTTCTCCCGGCTCCCTGGAGGCTGGCACGAGGAAGACCGGGGATGCTGGGGTGACCCTTACTCTTCAGGACGGTGGGCTGGAGCAGTTGCAGCTCGTGGTCACTAGGTGTCAGCCTATCCCCACCTTGGCGCGGGATCCTCTTCCCGCCTCCAGGCAAGTGAGGTGCAAACGAAAGGCTGAAAACGAGTGCTGGGGGAGGTGGTGGTAAGTAGGAAGGTGGGGGGCTAGGGAAGAGATTCTGCGAGAGGGAGGGAAAGCTAGAAGCCTTAGGCGCCGGAGACGCAGGGACCAAGAGGTTTGGGTGTTTGCTCTGCCTCCCTTGCTGGCTCCAATGTTACATATTAACGCCTGTGGGGCTCCGCGGTCAACCACGGCCCGACTGGTTTCTAGGTGAGGGCACGAGTGTACCGGGTTGTGCGGCTTTTCCTCTCTGCGCTTCCCTTTGCTCCCAGGGCAGCTTTGTTCATCAGCCAACAGCAGCCTGAGCCAGCCACCGAGGGCCCCTCGTGGGGCCCCTCTCGTGGTCTTTCCACGTGGACAGGTTTGAGTCTCTTTTGAGGGGTGGGGCGGGACAGAATATAAACACTCCTTTCCTCACATTCCTCACTCACTCAGAAACAGGGACGCTGACTCTTAGCTAATCACCATCCTCTTGCTCCTTAGCTTTTATGGAGCTCGAACACAGCAGGAGGCACAGGGAGACAACAGGAATTAAACTCACCTCCGGCCAAGACCCTAGACAATCATACTAACCAGCCCCTTACGTTTAGGGCAGAAGCCTTGATCCCACACCAGTCAAACAGCTCTCCCTCCTCTCTCTGATGCTTTCACATAGTGGTCCACATCCCTCCCATCTTCCCCACAAGGAGATTCTCCTTACAGTTGAGCCTTGAAGGCGGATTACCCGCGGCAAAATTGCGGGGAAGGGAGGGGTGTGATGAGACTGCTGACGCGGGCGATGCTCACTTGTTGGGACAGCCTGGAGTCTCCTTCTCCCTAGGTGAATCAGTGTGCACGGCTCGGGGTTTCCCCGGTCCCTCCCTAGGCAAACACGAAACTAACCCTGATCCCTGCCCCACAAACCGAGAATGCTGACGCTCTTCGTAGTTTTGGTAGTTTATCATTTGCGTGCCAATGAGAATCCGCTCTCTCCTGAAATAGTGTCACTAGTGAGCAAAGAGGTGGGCTGAGATGGGCGCCTGGGTGACTGAGTCAGTTAAGCGTCTGCCTTCCACTCAGGACATGATCTCAGGGTCCTGGGATAAAGCCCCGCGTGGGGCTCCCCGCTCAGCGGGGAATGTGCTTTTCCCTCTACCTCTGCCTTTCTTTGCCCGCTCCTGCTCTCCCTGTCTCAAATAAAGACAATCTTAAAGAAAAGTGGGTTAGGGAGATTGGTCCTCGCTTTCCACCCTCACTGGTTGTGAAGAGCACCCCTCGGGTCTAAAGCTTTGTGAGGGCCAGATGCGAACACGTGTGTAGGGAATGGCTTGTACCGTCCTAGCTGCCAAGCGCGCCAAGAAATGCCATAAAACCCCATTTCTGGGATTCTGACAAAGGAACTGTGGGAGTGGGCTGCAAGGACGTGCAAACGGCACAATACAGATGCAAAGCCGAAACCCACACCAATTTCCCTTGCTCCGCCCCGCAATTATCTTCCAGGGTCGGGGGTGCGGCCACAGGGTGGGCGGGTCCGCGCACGCGCTGCGTCTGGGTTGGGGGGGGGTCCGGAAATGTGACTCTGAGAAACGAGATGGAGAAGTACGAGCGGATCCGAGTGGTGGGGAGAGGTGCCTTCGGGTGAGCCAGGGATCTGGGGAAGGAAATTGGTCGGGGAGAGGGAAAATGAACCCCAACTCTGCCAGCGAATTCGCTGCCCGGCTAGCCCCGCCCCGAGGCGTGAGCGCCAGCTTGGAAAGCCCCGCCCAGGCTTCCGGTCCCGGTCCTAGTTGGGAGACTCCGCCTCTAACGAGGTCACGCCCCCCACCCCTCCACCCCCGGCCGGCAAGCCTTTGCGCGGCCGCAGAGTTTCGTTCTTTGATTCCTGACTCAGCCATTCAGCAATTATTGGGCGCTAGCTATACCCGTCAGGCTCTCAGCGCCGAGTGTACAGTAAAGACCAAAATAAGCGTGTTTTTTTTCCCTCTCGGGGCGTGTAGACTGTAGTAAAATAATACAATAAACAAGATACTAAAGCAATTATTAACAAGCTGCGAACGTGGCATACACCACGACTACTTATTTGGGATGGTGAAGGAAAATTTCTCTTTTCTTTGAGAGGTGAATTGTAAAGCCAAGACTTGAGGGATGAAAACCAGTAACCGAAGATGAAGGCAGAACTTTTCAGGCAGAGGAAGCAGCATATCCTCACGCGGGAAAGAATTCAAAGTATTCAAGGAACTGAGAAAAAGACTGGTGAAGTTGGAATGTAGTGGGCAAAGTAAAGGATGGTAGAGAGAGAGAGAGAGAGAGAATGGTATAAAATGTGATTGTCACAGAGAACAGCTGATGGCCTAATAGGCTGAGGTAAAGAGGATGGATTTATTCAAAGTGTAAAAGGGAAGGGGTTTAAGCAGAATGAATGGTCTTGATATGATTTGCATTTTTATTTATTTTTATTTGTTTTAAAGATTTTGTTTATTTGAGAGAGTGTGTGTGAGAGAGAGAAGCAGGGGGCAGGGGAAGAGGGAGAGGGAGAAGCAGACTCCCTGCTGAGCAGGGAGCCCCATATGGCGCTGATTCCAGGGTCCTGGGATCATAACCTGAGCGCAGGGGGTTCTGGGATCATGACCTGAGCAGAAGGCAGCCGCTTAACCCACTGCGCCACCCAGGTGCCCCTGATTTGCATTTTTAAAATGTCATTCTGGTTGCAAGTCAGAAATGGATGAGTTCATATTATTTTAGAAGTGGAAACAGGAAAGATTTTGGCATGATTTTCAGGTGTCTTTTTTTTTTTTTTTTCAAAAAAAAATTTTTTTTAAGATTTTATTTATTTGACAGAGAGAGAGATCACAAGTAGGCAGAGAGGCAGGCAGAGAGAGAGAGAGAGGGAAGCAGGCTCCCTGCTGAGCAGAGAGCCTGATGCAGAGCTGGATCCCAGGACCCTGAGATCATGACCTGAGCCCAAGGCAGAGGCTTCACCCTTTGAGCCACCCAGGCACCCCCTTTTTTTAAAAGATTTTACTTATTGGGGCACCTGGGTGGCTCAGTGGGTTAAGCCTATGCCTTCGGCTCAGGTCATGATCTCAGGGTCTTAGGATCCAGCCCTGCATCCCGCTCTCTGCTCAGTGGGGAGCCTGCTTCCCCCACTTTATCTCTGCCTACCTCTCTCTTGTGATCTCTGTCTGTCAAATAAATAACATCTTAAAAAAAAAGATTTTGGGGCGCCTGGGTGGCTCAGTGGGTTAAAGCCTCTGCCTTCGGCTCAGGTCATGATCCCAGGGTTCTGGGATCGAGCCCCGCATTGGGCTCTCTGCTCCGGGGGGAGACTGCTTCCTCCTCTCTCTCTTTCTGCCTGCCTCTCTGCCTACTTGTGATCTCTGTCTGTCAAATAAATAAATAAATAATCTTAAAAAAATTTTTTATTTATTTGGCAGAGATACTTCAAGAGAGGGAACACAAGCAGGGGGAGTGGGAGAGGGAGAAGCAGGCTTCCCACCGAGCAGGGAGACCGAGGCAGGACAGGATCCCAAGACTCTGGGATCATGACTGAGCAGAGTCTTAACGACTGAACCACCCAGGCGCCCCCAGGTGTCTGACTTCAATGGTTTTATCAGTTACTGAGATGGAAGAGCCTGAGGAAGAAAAGGTTTGGGGGCAGTTTGAATTTGTTAAAATCTAAGATGCAGGATGCATGGGTGGCTCAGTCTGTTAAGTGTCTGCCTTCACCTCAGGTTATGATCCCAGGGTCCTGGGTTCAAGTGCCGCATCAGGTGCCTTGCTCACCGGGGAACCTGCTTCTCCCTCTGCCTTCCACTCCCCCTCCTTGTAATGGTCACTCCTGCATGCTCTCTCTGACAAATAAATAAAATCTTTTTTTAAAAATTTAGAATGCTTGCAAGCTACTCAGGTAAAAATGCAAAGCAGGTAGTTGGATTTGTTAGTCTGGGGCTCAGAGGAGAGGTTTGAGATGGAAATATAAATTTGATACTTTTTAAAGATTTTTTATTTATTTGACAGAGAGATCACAAGTAGACCGAGAGGTAGGCCGAGAGAGAGAGAGAGAAAAGCAGGCTCCCTGCTGAGCAGAGAGCCCGATGCGGGACTCGATCCCAGGAGCCTGAGATCATGACCTAAGCCGAAGGCAGTGGCTTAACCCACTGAGCCACCCATGCGCCTTGAATTTGATACTCTTAAATGATCCTCTTAAAGTCCATTCACTCAGCAGATACTCATTGACTCCCTACTGTGTGCTAAATACTGGGCTGTGCTCTGGGGATATAGTTGTGAAGGAGACTAGGAGCCCTGCTTTTATGGCCACTGACCAGAGTTGGAAGAAAATAATAGTATGAACGGCTTCCACTCATCCTCTCAACAACCCAGGGAAATTGATTCTGGTTTCCAGATGAAAATGTCATATAATCCCAAACCAGGTAAGTAATACAAGGAGGAGCCAGGATTTGAACCCAGGCAGTTAACTCCGAAGTCTGTGCGCACTAAGGACGATCAAGACTAACTTCACTGTGCCCGTGCTGAAACCGAGCCTCAGGTTAAATGACTTGCCCAAGATCTCACACACAGCGTTTGTGGCCAGTTCTCCCTATTCTTGAACTTGTCCTATGCATTTTAGATGACCTCTTAGTCTCCATGCCTGTTTCCCCTCTCCTAAGGAGCATCCAGTGACAAGGTCTGCCCTGCCTGATGTGTGGCTGGAAGCTCAGCTGGGACCCACCCCTGTGCTCTGTGTCCCCAGGATTGTGCACCTGTGCTTGCGCAAGGCTGACCAGAAGCTGGTGATCATTAAGCAGATCCCAGTGGAGCAGATGACCAAAGAAGAGCGTCAGGCAGCCCAAAATGAGTGCCAGGTCCTCAAGCTACTCAACCACCCCAATGTCATCGAGTACTATGAGAACTTCCTGGAGGACAAGGCACTCATGATTGCCATGGAGTATGCACCAGGTGGGCCAGCCTCCTCACATTGGCCTGGCTCCAAGGGCCCCTCTCTTCTGGGACAAGCAGACCCAGATCAGCCAGCTTCTGTCCTCAGACTGGGTTTGATGGCGGTTCACAGGTATAGGGTTGTGACACCAGGTGTACGAGGCTGGCAGACCCTTGCCCTGTCTGCACTGTTGGTTTCTTTCTTTTTTTTTTCCGCTGTTGGTTTCTTAACAGGAGAGTGCCAGGCACGGGAAAAGCCTAGATCTTAGCTAGTTCCTTCCTGCTGCAGGTGGCACGCTGGCCGAGTTTATCCAGAAGCGCTGTAATTCCCTGCTGGAGGAGGAGACCATCTTACACTTCTTTGTGCAGATCCTGCTTGCACTGCACCACGTGCACACCCATCTCATCCTGCACCGGGACCTCAAGACTCAAAACATCCTTCTCGACAAACACCGCATGGTTGTCAAGATCGGGGACTTCGGCATCTCCAAGATCCTTAGTAGCAAGAGCAAGGCCTACACGGTGCCTGGGCACAGAGGGGACCTCATGGGTGCTGGAGGGGCCAAGGCTCACTCTGCGTCCCAGCCCCCTCCCTCTCCAAGACTTTGGCCCCCTGCCCCCCGACCCCGGGCTGGGTGGTCCTGCAGGAGGAAGCGGTCTGCAGTGGGCCTTGGACAGAGCCTTCCCTCCCCTAAGCTGTAATAAGATCTGCTTCCCTCTTGCAGGTGGTGGGCACCCCGTGCTACATCTCCCCTGAACTGTGTGAGGGCAAGCCTTACAACCAGAAGAGTGACATCTGGGCCCTGGGCTGTGTCCTCTACGAACTGGCCAGCCTCAAGAGGGCCTTTGAAGCTGCGGTGAGTTATACCCCCAGAGAGACAAGTGAGAAATATCTATGTCTATCTCCCTGCCCTAGAAGTCCTTGGTTCCAGCCACTTCTGTGTTCCTTCCCTTGTGGCGGAGTTGTTTCCCGCGTCAGACTGGGAAATTACCCCATGGCTGGGCTGTGGCTTCCCTCAGGCTTGGGTCCCCCGTTAAACTGAGGACTCCTAAGAGCAGGGCTCTCCCACCAGATTAGGGATTCCCCCCACCCCTGCCCCCGCTGCTTCCACTAAGGGCAAGACCTGACCTGAGTTCTCCCAACCAACCACCTAGGGTTTCTGAGGACATAGCTGCAGCTCCCCTATCGGGAGTTCCTGTCCCCGGGAGTCCCCTCGTCAGATTGCAGATTCTCGGTGCAAGGCTTTGACCACCCGGTTAGACCTGGAGGCAGGAGGTGCTGCCACCCAAGAGCCTGGGACAGGCTCTGGCCAACCTCACCCTCCGTGCTTCCACAGAACCTGCCAGCACTGGTCCTGAAGATCATGAGTGGCACCTTTGCACCAATCTCTGACCGGTACAGCCCTGAGCTGCGCCAGCTTGTCCTCAGTCTGCTCAGCCTGGAGCCCTCGCAGCGGCCACCGCTCAGCCATATTATGGCGCAGCCCCTGTGCATCCGCGCCCTCCTCAACCTTCACACCGATCTGGGCAGTGTCCGCATGAGGAGGCCTGTGCGGGAAGTGGGGGGAGGGGTGCTGGAGCTCTGGGAAGCGGGGTGGTGTGTGTGTGTGTGTGTGTGTGTGTGTGAGAGAGAGAGAGAGAGAGAGACACCCAGTGAGAGCACAATAAGCCTGGGCAAGTCCTCCATTCCTAATTGTGTGGTGTGTGGGGGGGTGGGGGGGGTGGGGGGGTGGGCAGGTGCCAGGAACGGTCCGTGTCCTGAAGCCCCCATTTGACCTACAGGGCAGAGAAGTCCCTGGTCCCCGGGCCACCCATGGCCCCGGGCTGCAGCCCAGGAAGCCGGACCACCGGCCCCCGCTGCAGGGGTAAGTCAGAGCCAACCTCCGGTGCCTCCCCAATGCCAAGCCATTCCCACCAGTTTAATATACCTGACACAGTGTCCCACAGGCATACCCCGGGGACCCCCACGGCCGGCCATTCCGCCACCACTGTCGTCCGTGTACGCGTGGGGTGGCGGGCTGAGCGCCCCGCTGCGGCTGCCAATGCTCAACACAGAAGTGGTCCAGGTGGCGGCCGGACGCACGCAGAAGGCAGGCGTCACGCGCTCTGGGCGCCTCATCTTGTGGGAGGTGAGCCGGCTGTTGGGTGGGGGGAGCCTGGGGTGGGGTAAGCGGGGCGGGGGGGGGGGGTCCTGAGGGGGCCACTGAGGCCTCGCCCATGCCCTCCATAGGCCCCGCCCCTAGGCGCGGGAGGGGGCGCCCTCCTGCCTGGGGCCGTGGAGCAGCAGCAGCCCCAGTTCGTCTCCCGTTTCCTGGAGGGCCAGTCGGGTGTGACTATCAAGCATGTGGCCTGTGGGGACCTCTTCACGGCCTGCCTGACCGGTGAGTCCAGCAGGGGACTATCCTGGGGCATTCCACAGAGTCTGAGAAGGCCCCCCCAGAGCAGCTCTCCTCACTGGTTGTCATTTGCGCACTCATTAATGCTTCTTCTTTTTTTTTTTTTTTTTAAGATTTTATTTATTTATTTGACAGACAGAGATCACAAGTAGATGGAGAGGCAGGCAGAGAGAGAGAGAGAGAGAGAGGGAAGCAGGCTCCCCGCTGAGCAGAGAGCCCGATGCGGGACTCGATTCCAGGACCCTGAGATCATGACCTGAGACGAAGGCAGCGGCTTAACCCACTGAGCCACCCAGGCGCCCCCTCATTAATGCTTCTACTAGTTATCCTGCACCAGGTGCTTTATTATTATTATTATTATTACTATTATTTTAGATTTTATTTATTTATTTGACAGACAGAGATCACAAGTAGGCAGAGAGGCGGGCAGAGAGAGAGGGGGTAAAGCAGGCTCCCCTCTGAGTGGAGAGCCCGATGTGGGGCTCCATCCCAGAGCCCTGGGATCATGACCCGAGCCGAAGGCAGAGGCTTTAACCCACTGAGCCACCCAGGCGCTCCGCTTTATTATTTTTTTAAGATGTATTTATTATTTTGAGAGAGAGGTGCTTTACTTATACAGTCTCCTTTACCCTTCACAACAGGCCTGGCGAGGTAGTTACTATAGATTATCTTCATTTGAGGGAGGCTGAGTGACAGACCTGGAAAGCTCAGATGTACAGCTCAGAGGCTGTCTCTTGTCCAAACTCACCCAAAGAGATACGCTGCCTGTCCTTTTCTACCTTCTGCCCCATTCTTCCAGCCTTTGCTTCCAACTTCCTTCACCTGCAACCCATGGACTGGCCTCTCTGGAAAAACAGCCTACCCTCTCTCCCTTCTCTTTCCTCACCACCCCTCTCTGCAGACCGAGGTATCATCATGACCTTTGGCAGTGGCAGCAATGGGTGCCTAGGCCATGGCAGCCTCAATGACCTCAGCCAGGTGGGTGCTGCAGGTACTTGGGGGAGGAGGAAGTGGGCGGGTGGCAAGGATTGTACATCTGACAGCTGACACCTGAGTTGGGGGCCGGGAATCCCCAGCAGCCACGGGTCCTTCTAGCTCCTGGGCTGCACCTGTTCTGAGCAACACCAGGGGAAGTACAGAAAGACCAGGCTGCCCCAGTGGTGGCAGTGCATGCATGCATGCGTGCGTGCATGCGTGTGTGTGTGTGTGTGTGTGTTAAAGACACAGCTGTCTGGTGAGAATTTGCAGCCTCCAACTTCTTCATCCCTCCATGGGATGCTGAGGCCAGGCAGCAGTCCAGGCCCCTTGCCTAGTATCTCTTTCTTCCTCTTTCTCTCTCTAGCCCACCATTGTGGAGGCCCTGCTGGGCTATGAGATGGTGCAGGTGGCCTGTGGAGCGTCCCACGTGCTGGCCCTGTCCACTGAGCGAGAACTCTTTGCCTGGGGCCGCGGAGACGGTGGTAAGCTGTCTTCTCTGTTCAAGCTTCTAGGTTCCATCTCAGCACCCTGACTGGGACTTGAAGAGGACTTCATACCCACCTCCCAACCCTGGCCTCTTCTCCCTCTTTTCTCTTAAGCCGATTCCATTCATTTCTTTGTTCACCAAAACTTTACTGCCCATCTAGTACGAGCCCCTCCTGTGCTGGGTGCAGAGACAAGATGAGGAGGAATACCTTCCTTCAGGGGCTTATGATGTAGTGAGAGATCTCTTTCATCCGGCGGCCCTCTCTGGGTCAGATGTCATGCTGGGCATTGGAAACTAGAGAGGACTTACATGGGGTTTCTGTCCTCCTGGCATAGTGGGGGGAGGGATGACATCTCCCTACAATACAGGACAGACAGCATCAGGGCTCCCCCCAAGGTCCAGAGATGTGGGAACCCAAGGAATGGCACGGGATGTCCCTGGAGGAGACAGAGGTGGCATCTGAACAGGGCATTAAGGGGGAGTAGGATTTTGACCACAGAGGTTAGCTATTTCTGGCAGAGGGCACAGCCTTAACTCACGCCGTTACCTCCTCTCCATGGCTGGTCCGCATCCTGGCATCACCAACCCTAAAACCCAAACTAGCCCCATCCTGGTTTCTCCTTGTAGGCCGGCTGGGACTGGGTACCAGGGAGTCCCACAGCTGCCCCCAGCAGGTGTCCATGCCCCCAGGACAGGAAGCCCAGCGGGTAATATGTGGCATTGACTCTTCCATGATCCTCACTGTCCCGGGCCGAGCCCTGGCCTGTGGGAGTAACAGGTAAATGGGTCCAGTGGCATGACTAGAATGCCCTCCCCTTCCCTGGCTGCTAATGTTCTATCCGTCATTGCCTACTTTCCACCCAGGGTCCAAGCTGAGGGTGGGGCTGAGCACACTGCTGGGTTCAACCCAGGGTGGGAACTGTCCTCTGGGAACCAGCCCTGGCACACATCGGTGGGGTCCGGAGGGTCTGTGCAAACCGCCAGTTGGACTTGGCTTCTGGTTTTACCTTCAGGTTCAACAAGCTGGGCCTGGACCCCCTCTCCCTGGGGGAGGAGACTGCCCCCCATCAGCAGGTGGAGGAGGCCCTGAGCTTCACACCACTAGGCTCTGCACCCCTCGACCAGGAGCCTCTGCTCAGTGTGGACCTGGGCACTGCTCACTCAGCTGCCGTGACTGGTGAGTAGGACCCAGGCCCAGGAGGCCATGAGTGGACTCCCCCGGTCTCCTCGGGATCTCAGCTGAGACAGCCCCTCTCCTCTCCTCTTTCCTCCCCTACAGCCTCTGGCGACTGCTACACTTTCGGCAGCAATCAGCACGGGCAGTTGGGTACCCATGCCCGCCGGGTCAGCAGGGCACCTTGTCAAGTCCAAGGCCTGCAGAACATCAAGATAGCAATGGTGGCCTGCGGGGATGCCTTCACTATAGCCATCGGGACAGGTGATTGATCCGTGGGCACTGTGGGGCCAGATAGGGGTGCTGGCAGGCCCATGGGCAGTGGGGGTGGTATCCCGCTCAGGGCTGCTGAACATCCTCTTGGGGCTAGATGGATGGAGGGTAGCTGCTTGCTAAGCCGTGTCCTCCTCTTCCTGTCCTTGGGATTCTCTTTGGCAGAAGGTGAAGTGTACTCTTGGGGGAAAGGGGCCCGAGGTCGACTAGGAAGACGGGATGAGGATGCTGGACTCCCTCGGCCAGTGCAGCTGCAGGAGACACATCCCTACACAGTGACGTCTGTGTCCTGTTGCCATGGAAACACTCTCCTGGCTGTCCGCCGTGAGTTGTTACCTTTTCCCACCTCGCCTCCACAAGGTTTAATCCAGCAGTGGGTGCCCTGCCCACCCTCCCATCCCCCAGTGGTCACGGCCCAGAGCACTAAGAGCACGTTAAGCCTCCAGATAAATGAAAGCAGAAGCTTTTGGGTAAGACAGCTGCCTGCCTGGCGAAGGCAAGGGAGTCTGCTTCTTGGGCCTCACTTGAAGGACTGTTCCCAGTGCTTCCCAGGGCCCAAAGGCATTCTTTCTCCTACCCCCAGTCCAGTTTAGTTTGAACCTCTGTTTCTGGCCGGTCAAGGTCCAGAGTCCAGGGCACAGTGTGTGTGGGAGTGGGAGCGAAGGTGGGTATCCCTTGCTGTTGCTGGAGGCACTGCCCTCTGGGTGTCTGCAGGGGTTTCTCATTTGTATCTCCAGCGGTTACAGATGAGCCCATCCCACCGTGAGGCATCTAGATACACTCCTGGACCACCCCGATATTGCTGCTCCTCAGAACGTGCTTGAAAACTGCAGACACTTGCAGAGGACTGTCCCCACCAGCCCCCTGGAGTGTCCTCAGTGCCAGAGAAGAACCAGCGAAGCGGCCACTCTCCTTTGGCCCTGGATCCGGAAACCCCAACCCACCCCATTCCCCCAACATCTCTTTTGTCTCTTCCCACCCCTTTTAAGTTGGTGTCCCCAAGGTCCAGCCTGGCTAGGGTCGGAAACCAGACCCAGCCTTCCCAAGCAGGGTGGTCTCCAGAGTCTTGGCAGAAAAAAAGCTGGAGGCAGCTGTGACTCCACCCAGACCCTGCCCTTTACCCCCAGCACAATTAGAGAATAAGTCGCTGGTCCCCCCTGGGAGAGCAGCTCAGTGCTTTGGAGCAGGGCAAGCCCTGTCCTGCCTGGACTGGCCATTCTGGCTGCCTGGCTTCTGCATTGCTGGGATATCTGGAGGCACAGAACTTCTGAGTGGACTGGGAGTGGATCTGCAAGGGCACCAAAGTGTCCACTGCAGAATGGAGGTCCCTGCCGGAGGTTGCCCCTCCACCCACGCCATTCCCCCAAAGCAGGTTGGAGAAAGGGTAACTGGTTGGGCCAGACCAGTTTTCCAGATGACTGGGAAATAGCGCCAATAAAAACATCAACTGCCTGCCCCGAATGTGATCTCTTCGGGGATGGGGGTGGAGACCCGACACCCCAGGGCTGGGCAAGGCCGAGGTCCAGGGAGGAATGTGGGCGCAGCCTGAGGCTGGGGCCGAGGTTCCTCTGGCCCAGCGCCCAGCTAGGCTTCCCTGCGCCAGCCGAGCTCCCCAGATCTGGTTGCCAGGCTTCGGCTGCCTAGCACCTGCAAGCTGGAGTCCCGGGCCCCGGGGCGACACGTGGCCCCCCGAGACCTAGGTGTTGACGCTGGAGAAGCGAACCTTTGTGGTGCGTCCCAGCCTGACCGCCAGGGCCCTGCGCCCTATCCAGCGTCAGGAGACCCCCCCAACCCCGGGGAGAAGCGGAGCAGCCACGACCGCTCTTCCGAAAGGGAGAGAGGAGGAGCCCGAGCTCTGTGGAGGGCGCCAGGCGGGAGGTCCGCCGACCCCCACACCGCGAGCTGGCGAGGTGGGTGGGAACCGGGTGGGGAGGGCACTAGGACCCCGCGGGCGCGGCTCCACCCCCTCTTCCGGCGGGCGGGCTCGCGGGCTCGGGGGCTGGGCGCAGGCCGCGGCCGCCAGTCGGCGCCGCCCGGAGCCGGGAGCGCGGCCGGAGCGAGGCGCGGGCTGTGGGGCCGCCCCGTGCCCGGCCCCGCTCGCCCGTGCCCGCCGCCCGCCCGCCATGCCCGGCTTCGACTACAAGTTCCTTGAGAAGCCCAAGCGGCGGCTGCTGTGCCCGCTGTGCGGGAAGCCCATGCGCGAGCCGGTGCAGGTTTCTACCTGCGGCCACCGCTTCTGCGACACCTGCCTGCAGGAATTCCTCAGGTGCGGGCCGGGGGTGGGGAGCGGGGAACGGCCGTGGCCGTGGCGAGGGGGGACGGAGCGTGGGGAGGGGCCCAGGCGGGAGGCATGCCGGGCCTTTGTCTGCGCCGCGGCTCTCTGACCTCAGGGGCGCCCACCGTGACGTCACGGGGCGGCGGTGACGTCAGGCCCCGAGGGAGGACCCCACGCACTAATGCGAAGGGTCCTGGGGCCCTTCGGAAGAATTCCGTGCCTGCCCGCGGGGTGGAGGTGGGAGAAAACGCCCTTCCTGACCCGTGGCAGGCCCTCCCCTTCACCTGAAAGCTGGAGCGGCCGCATCCTTGAACTTTGAATCCGCAGGGGAAGAGGAGGACAGAACCCTCGGTCCCGCACAGGGCCTTAAGTCTCTCGGGTTTCCGCCCATCTAACCTCTGAGCTAAGAGCAGTCCGAGAGCGGCAGCTGTTGTTCTCCCATTTCACAGATGGTGAAACAAGAGATTCAAAGAAAGGCTGCGACTTGCCCACGGTCACACAGTTCCTTAAAGGCTTAAGTGGGATTAAGCCCGGGCTGCTTTTGGTCGCACAATAGAGGGAGAACTGTGACGCTACAGATCGCCCCTGAAGCCGTGGAACCGTCCGGGTGTCCCTCCTCGTCCCTGGGGATCTTGAGTACCGAGGGTGGTCTGTAAATCGCGAGGGAGGGGGGCGCATCCTGGGTGTAACTGAACTAGGCTCTGGGGCCTCTGCTGAGTTCTGGGCGCTCTGCCGTGTCGCGAATCTAAACTCCTGCTGGGAACTGTTCAAGCCTGGGTGTGGGGAGGCGAGATGAGGGAGCCCCCGCTCCTGGGGAAGGTCGTGCCCCGGGAGAACAGGGGATAGCTGGGTCAGCCACTGCCGCCTGTCTGGACGCTGTTTGCTGAGGCGAGCTAGGGGCGCAGACAGCATTTCTGGGGCTCCTGCCTTCAGTGCTCCCCGCTCCCTTTCTCAGCCCTCCGCAGCCCCTCGCTGGCGGAAATCTCAGCAGGCCCTTTGTTTTCAGTTCCCCCCAGTCTGGGCCGGCTCCTGCCCTCACATATGCTCCTGCGAGAGCTACGGTGCTGCCTGCCCCCCTCCTCCTTTTCCCTCACCCTCCTCCCTCCTCCCTGCAGTGTACACACATACTCCCCTACAGACACACAGTCCCATTGTCTTCTGCGGTGCCCTTCCCCGGCCCTCTGGTTTCCAGATGAGGCCAGCTGAGCCCCTGCCTCCACCCCCAGCCGACCCACCCTTACAGCCTCCGAGGGAGCAGGGGAGGGGGCTGTCAGGCCATTTCCCTCCACCACCTCCTCTGCCCCTTTCTCCAGCTTCTGCCCCTCCCCCTCCCGGAAATCCCCTCTTCCTCTCCCACAGCCCCCTCCCCCCATCCTGTTTTCTCCCCTGGGCCTGGGCCTTCACTGCACAGCCTGGAGCTGTCTGGGCCCCTTTCCTTCCCCCTTCCCCAGCTCTTGAGCTGTGCAGCTGAGGCCCCCGAAGGACAGAAGTGGTTGAACAGGCTCTGTCCCTCACCACCACCCCCTACCCTACCAGGGTGTCCATAACCCTGGCGGAACCTTTGTCCTGGCTGGGCCCCAAGCTGCTCCTGCTAATCTGCCTGAAGACTGGGGACTTGCCTCAGTCCCCTCCCTGTCTCCCAGACCACTAAATCAGCACATTCCTGAAGCAGCCGAACAGAACCCCCCCCCCCCCCGCCGTGGCCCACCCCTCTTGTCCCATTCCTACCTGGGCTATTGCTCAGGTTGGTCCAGGAGGGCTGGCTGCCTTGTGGGCATGGGTGCACCTCTTCAGTACCTGGACGTGTATTGTTCTTGGCATTGGTGGCATGACCAGTGGTGGTAGTGGGGTCGGGGGAGGTGGGTGCTAGAAATCTTTAAAGCACCTGGGGCCTCTGAACTCCCCAGGTCCTACAGAGTAGCATCATGGACAGGCTGCCATGTGGCTTCCTCTTCCGCTTTGGTTTCTGCCTCCCACCTGCTTGACTCAGATCTGTCGGGAATGCCATGCCTGAGGGCCTTGGGTCCTACTGGGTGAGCCCTTGCCCTGCCTAGGCCACGCCAGATGTGTGTGACTGACTGGCCCTGGCCAGGGTCAGCAAGGCCATGTTGGTGGAAGCAGGTGTGCCAGCAGGTTTCTTGGTGCCGGGTGGGGATTAGTGCAAGGTCAGAAAGCTTTCAGAGCTTGCCTTTAGGTGACCAGAGTCTTGGCCGAGCTTGCCTGGAGGGTTTTTCTTGCCCCAGCCCCTTGTGTGTATACAGTGTAGTAGAACCTGTCTGAACTGTCTGAAGATGTCCAGGTGCTGCTTTACCTTGAGTCTCAGTTCTTTCATCTGCAAAATGGGGGACATGCAGCCCCTTTCCAGAGGCAGGTGGTTAGGACTGGATAGGAGTGTAAACATTGCCTGAGGGTGAGACTCTCCTCTTTGCTTTAGAAGACACACCCTCACCGGAGGAGGAAAGGGATGGGGTAAAGTGGCCAGAAACTGACCTTTGCTCTGGGTTCTTGGACAAGAATCCTAAGGGGGGCTGGGGTGCCCTGCCACTTAATTTCAGCCCATCGCTGCCCACCTGCCCACCTCCCCTTCCCCGCACCGGTCCCCCCAGCCAGTAAAAACTAACGGGTGGAGGGCAGGTGTCCTGTTGCTTTTCCAGTCCAGCTGCCCTCCTGGGTGAGGGGGGGGAGGGATACCAGCTGCCACCTGTTGGACAAATGCTCTCAGAGGCAGCTGTCTGCCTCCAGTGGGCCCAGAACCCCTCTCCTCAGGACAAGAGCTGGGATCTGGGGTCTTGGCTGAGAGGTCTGGTGAGGGAGGGAGGGTACCCTGGTTGAGGGGGTGGGGCCTGGGTATTTCCTTCCCATAGCTGGATCCTGACCCTGTCCCCTCCCTCTTCACAGTGAAGGAGTCTTCAAATGCCCTGAGGACCAGCTTCCTTTGGACTATGCCAAGGTGAGCCTACAGTGCCAGGCGGGGGCCCAGGTTACAGGGTTTTGCCCTTGGTGGAGGCCGGAGCTATTGGCAGCCAGTTGGCTCAGGGCCAGTGTCAACCCAGTACTGTGGAATCTTGTGCCCCCATGAAGGTGGCCTCTTCCCTCCCACTGGGCCAAGTTGCAAATGAGGCCAGTGTTTGCCCTGGAGGGCAGGCACAATGCCCAGCCTGTGGGGGTGCACAGAGCCGCTCTGTGCCCGAAAGGAGTGCTCCCCTCCCCTTCGGGTGGCAAGCCAGACCCGTGGCTGACGGCCAGGACCCCTCTACCAGGAGGAAGGAAGCAGAGGATGTGGGGGCTGCCTGGAACTGAGCAGGCTGATTGGTTGCCCCTCCGAAGGGAGTGTCATGTACAGGCACGCTGGGAACCCTGGTGTCCAGCTTTGGAGCAGACACCACCTGTGCCTTTTATCGCTGGGCACAGAGGGGATTATAGATCAAGAGAGCGTGTTCCTGAAGCTCAGGTAGAGCTGGCTTGGCCGGGGTGGGGTGGGGTGGTGGTGACTGGGGACTGGAGCAGCCTCTGACCCTGGCCAGTTCCTCCCCATCCACCCAGATCTACCCAGACCCCGAGCTGGAGGTGCAGGTGTTGGGCCTGGCCATCCGCTGTATCCACAGTGAGGAGGGCTGCCGCTGGAGTGGGCCACTGCGGCACCTGCAGGTGAGTCCCCGGCGGGGAGGGAGGGATGAGTCCTTTCCCGGCGGGCGCTCACCGCCTCCTTTCCCACCAGAGCCACCTGAACGCGTGCAGCTTCAACGTCATCCCCTGTCCCAACCGCTGCGCCATGAAGCTGAGCCGCCGGGACCTGCCTGCCCACTTGCAGCACGACTGCCCCAAGCGGCGCCTCAAGTGCGAGTTCTGTGGCTGCGACTTCAGTGGGGAGGCCTTTGAGGTAAGCAGGGGCGGGGGGGCTGGCTGAGGGGTGTAGTTGAGCCGGGCACCCTTAACTTGGCCCCCCGGGGCATCTCCTCAGAGCCACGAAGGCGTGTGCCCTCAGGAGAGTGTGTACTGTGAGAACAAGTGCGGCGCCCGTATGATGCGGCGCCTGCTGGCCCAGCACACCACCTCCGAGTGCCCCAAGCGCACCCAGCCTTGCACCTACTGCACCAAGGAGTTCGTCTTCGACACCATCCAGGTGAGGCCCTTTCCGGGTGGCAGGTGATGTGTGGGGAGCGGGGAGTCAGGCTGA